TAGCCTTGTCATTTTTATTAGCCTTAACATGAAGTAACCCAAAATGTTAAACAGTAAGAGTAGTAGGCCTAGTCATATTTCGTGAACCCTTTGAAGAGTACTGTCACACCAGTGTGATCATTCTATAATAAACCGTTTAAGCCCGGATGCCCCCGGGGAGACATGCTAACGCTAACGCTACATTAGCATCGGCGATCTTTTCTACTTCTGCACAAATGGTTAACATTGAACATTAAAAAGATCAGGCAGTTCAGGGAGAATCGAAGGAAGGCAGGCAGGCAGCTTTGCATGACATTCTTCTGGACGTGTTTCATTGTGGTGAGGGTCAGGGTGAGAGGGTGATAGTGAGGGTAGTCAATCCCTTTTTTGGCAAGACAGTAGTGACGGCCATCTTGGTGACGTGTGTTGTTGTGCGAGACCAGAGATGTAGTTCATTGAGCGGTTTCACACAAAAAGTCTTACTTCAAAGTTTTACGGCAGTTTTTACTTGCAAAATTATCTTTTAAATTGACAAACATCATATGTGTAATTCGTGGCACAATTCAAACGGGATCGAAAGATAACTTTTCTCTCGCCATTGACTTCAATACATTATTTTTCCTAAATAAGGTCCCATGGAGGTCCACCGGAAGGGGAGGGACTTCGCCTCTCTATACTTCACTCGCGTTTATGTCCATATCGATCAGTTCCAGCTCTCCTGATCGGCCTTTCTGGAGAGCACCGATCAAACTAGTAAGAATATAAAAAGAATATCGGCCGTTAATGATCGGGGGCCAATCGATCGGAGCATCCCTAATTATTACCGGACATTTTGACCAGCAGGTTTTTAATTTACCGGTTTTTAATACATTTTACCAGCTAAAAACCGGTAATTACCGGCTAACGGAAACCCTGGTGTGTGTGTGTGTGTGTGTGTGTGTGTGTGTGTGTGTGTGTGTGTGTGTGTGTGTGTGTGTGATATAACATCTGTTTCACTGAAAGATGTTTTATGTACAGAGGACTGACTGAAGCTGTCCTAAAACATGTATAAATGAAAGAAACAAACATATAAAATAATCTCACGCCGTCTCTCAAGAGTTTCATTTTTATTAACTTTCATAACCTAAAATATCCTCAGGAGAAAAATCCATATACAGGCATCGATTGGCATATAAATGTGCAAACACAGAACCTGAAGCAGAGGAAACAGAAGATATAATACACTTTTCACTTTCTACCAGGTTTTAAAAACTAGAAGCTTTTGATACATCCTGGAAACATCTGCTGTCCAAAGCAACATGCACAGAGAGCGTGTTTGCATTAACGTGATTCAAGGCGTAAATATATCCTTATCAAACTTCATGATACAGATCGTCAGTGAACTAAAGGTTACTGATATCATTTATGTCAAGATCGCTGTTTTTGTTTCAGACAAAAATAAAATGGACGATCTGTGACGTGTGTGTGAAACACTGAAAGCTCACAGGACATCTCCTAATGAACAGCAGAGAGAGAAAATAACCACACATCTCCATTTGATCAGACACCACCACAGAGAGAATGAAAGCTGAACACCATCAGAGAAACCTGCTTCATCTCCGTCCTTCTTCCTTTAGTCCCGCTGTAAATAAACACATCTACTACGGAAGAGGATGAGGGCCAAATGTGAAACTGCATCTGAGACACTACAGGCAAAGACATGTACAAAGCACTTTGTTGCTTCCCATGCCTCGTCTTCCTTCAGACGAGTGGAAAGAGAACGTCTCAAATCCACATTTAGGAGTTTATTTCTCTAACTCTGTCTGCAGATTTCTCCTAAACTCCCCTTATATAATGCCTCATTTGCATATTTAAACATAACCTGTCAGAAAACTTGTAATATAAAAGATAGTTTTGTTAATGTCAGTAATGAAGGTGGGAAGTTTCATGTTGATATCTGTGTGTTAAATATGTGACCCCATCCACCTGCAGAGTGTAAAACAGGTAGGAGTTTTATTCACTTTTAAGAAGTTTTTTTAAGAAGACATTATTAAGACTTTTTAAACTGTTTTTTCTCCTAAGAATAATCAATTCCTCGTTTCTTTCTTGAGCTATTTTGACTTTTTTTATAATGATACATGTGAGGATTGGCTATAAAATGGGACTGTTTGTAGGATTAAAATCTGTCTTAATTACCTCGAAAATAGGTCAAAAAGTACAACAGAATTGTGGTTAAAACAAAAACCAATCCGACCAACTTTTGGATTGAGATACAATTTTCAAATCATGATTTATGTGTTCTTTAAAATGAAAGAATTGACCCTGAATCCCTTCAGAGGTAACCTGTGGAAGCGTGTTGCAGAAAAAGAAAACCACTTCCTGATTGACTATCAAGGCTTTCCTGTGTGTGATGACTTCAGGGTGTTGTGTTTTTTTTTATCGAGGTCGGAGCGCTGCCAGTCTCATCACAAAGTAAAATGTTTTCCCCAGACAGGATGAGCGGAGGAGTCTGCACTAAAAGCATTTTCACACTGCAGGACCAATCTGCTGCAGTATTGCTGTGACCCAGAATCCTTTCTGTTCAAACAGCAAAGCCCCCGATGATGCAGTGAACCAAAACCCCAGGGTCGGCCGTGGGGGTGTAAACTACCTCCAGCATCCACGATTTTACGGTTATGAAGGTTACAGCTGAGCATGCTTTTTTTTTTCTCTTCCAAAAGGTGTTAAAAGGACCAGTGGCTGCAGCAACATGTCCTCATCTGTGCTCAGCCCCAGATGTCCTGCAGGTAGCGTTTCTCCTCCCTCAGAAGGGCCACAGTCTTCATGGCGTCCAGCTGATCCACCTGCAGCTCCGCTCTGATCGCGTCCAGCAGCGCGTCGTTCATGTCTTTAGCCATGTTCTTAGCATCTCTGAGGGAGAAGAAAGGGAGAGTAAGTCAGAGGAAAGGTGGTGTAATCCATAGAAATGGTTTTAGGGCAGTCCTACATGTTTCTAAGATGGTGTTATTGGAAGTAATAATTACATTTTACTGAAAATAAGCTGTTAAAAACTCTACAAAATGATATCCTAAACATAAAAGAAAATCTATTCAGTTTTTTAACTATAAGATAAGAAAGGACAGGTAATAGAAATACAATATAACAACAATATAATTAAGTACAACAATACATCTAAACTATATTGTATATAGCTACAGAACAAAGTGAATTTCAGGCAAATCTTTGACATCAAAACACGGACATTAAACGCTAAAAATTGAATGAGGGAGATAAGCCAAGTTTATAACCACAACACACGTTTAACTTCACGGCCATTCATACACCGCTTTCCAACCTTGTATTTCATATGTATATAGACGTAAACACTTGGGAGATATTATACCTGGCCCTAACAATAATTAAACTCTCTGTAAAAACTGAAGCTAAACCAAAACGCACTCTAAAAACATCCAGCTGAAACGAGAATAAAAACAAGACACTATAACAACAATATAATTAGGTACAACAATACATATAAACTATAATGTATACCGGTACAGAAAAAAGTGAATTTCAGTCCAATCTTTTGACATTGAAACAGAAATTAAACGCCAATTGCTGCTGGAATGAAGGAGACACACTTTTAACTTCAAGGCCTTTCAAACACCGCTTTCCAACCTTGTATTTCATATGTGTATATATAGTATTATAAAACGGACAAGTCAAATCAAGCAATCTGATTGGTTCTTAGCCGTGATATACTGAGCGTATACCACGGCCTGTCGTGAGCTATTGCTTAAGTATTACACTTGGGAGATATTATACCTGGTCCTAAGAACAATTAAACTTTCTGTAAAAACTGAAGCTAAACTAAAACACACTCTAAAAACATCCGGCTAACACGAGAATAAACTCAAGAAATCAAGACTAAAACAGAACAACTTGTGAAACTGTGACTCCTGATCTGTTCAAACCCTGCTCTGTGCACAGTGGAAACCTATATTTAGTAAAAGCAGCTTCCAGGAGATCCTCCTGAAGGAAACTGCTGTGTCTGAGTCTTGCTGCTGCAGCATATTGAAGAGATTCATCATCTAGAGCACCTCAAGTGATTTTTACTACTCTGAGGAATTCACACAGGACTGAAGCTTCAAAGATCGTTTACTCAAAGGTGAGCGTGATGAGAAACTCTCACACTGAGATTTAGCTTGTATTGACAGGAACAATATGTAGCGCATACAAACACTGTCCGACATGTTGCATCAGTTTGAGGAGTTAGAGAGGTGATGTGAGCAGACAACTCACAACATCACTTCAGCAGTTTCTTTTTTTTTTATCGAATAAGTGCCTTCCTCCCAAGCAAAACGAGTCATTCATGTAGTCGTTATTTAGCACCGGATACAGCTCAGAGTTCACAAAGTCTGTTTTTTAGGAGCGTGTTTAGTTTAGTTTGTGACTTTCTGTTAAAGTAAGGCTCATTAATATTCACATTGTTGACATTGGAGTGACATTCGAAAGCTGTCTTTTCATTGTGTTTGAAGACTTCTGCGTGGATTTGTGCGCAGTTGCATTTAAATGTAGCTACACTAATATTATAAGGAGAGTTATTATATTCCAGCGGTGGATGCGTAGGATTGTTCCAGGCTCATGTGATCCAAACATAAGTGTTGTAAAGTCCAAAAGTCAACATTTATTTAAAAAAGTAAAATTGCTTTCATTTTTAAAACATGTTTTTATCCAAGCAGACATCCGGCTTCGATCCATAGTTGTTGGCGGTTAACCTTAAAATATTTTTACCGCGCTTAAAAGTTCGCTTATTCGCGAATTCAACTTAACAAATAAAGTGGATTTAATTAAATAAAACCAACAAACTTTATCATGTGAATCCGTCGGATCAAACTGTGAAGACCCATTTATTTATTTACCGCAAATGAATCGAGAATAAAATATATTTAAATGTGAATGTTGAGTCTTACCCGCAGACATAGAGGAAGCCCTTCTGTTTGAGCAGGATGTCGGTGACGTGTTTTCTGTTTCTCAGCAGGTTGTGCTGCACGTATCTGGGCGGTGCTGCGGAGGTGAAGCCCTCTTCCTCCTCTCCCTCCTCCTCTTCCTCCGGATCATCTCTGGAGAAACACACCTTCAAATGGCTCAGTGCTCCGCTGGAAACAAAGCCCTCCAACTCCTCTCTGAGACAAGGATGACAGAGACACATTATTTTAGCTCATTGTTAGTCCAAGTTATTCGGGAAATCTTCTTCCTGATTTGAGGAAAGGTTTCTCTCCAAAGCTAGAAGAGAAAAGAGCTTTGAGGGATAGATAGAGGATTTAATGGAGAATATACAGTAGTGTAATGCCAATAAGTACATTTACTCAAGTATTATACTTAAAGTGGACCTATCATGCTATATTTGAATAATATATTGTAGGGCCATACCTATATAAAACATGTCTGTGAAGGTTTTTTTTCAAAATACCAAACAGATCATGCATTTTAGCCATGCCTCATTTCACTCTATTTGCTCTATTCCAGCCCAGTCTTCACAAGGGCTGATTCTGTGGCAAAAGAGCTGCAACTGACCACGCCCCCCTGCAAAGGAGGGGGGCGAGGCACGAGCGTCATGTTACCATGCTGTTACCATGCTGTTACCATGCTGTTACCATGCTGTTACCATGCTGTTACCATGCTGTCACCATGCTGTCACCATACTGTTACCATGCTGTTACCATGCTGTTACCATGCTGTTACCATACTGTTACCATGCTGTCACCATGCTGTCACCATGCTGTTACCATGCTGTTACCATGCTGTTACCATGCTGTTACCATACTGTTACCATGCTGTCACCATGCTGTTACCATGCTGTTACCATGCTGTTACCATGCTGTCACCATGCTGTCACCATGCTGTTACCATGCCACGCAACCTCTCATTCCCCTGATAGGTGGAGAGTTGCCCATATAGGCAGAGCACCCCGTTTCTGACGTCAGAACAATTTCAAATCTGTATCAGTCTGTATCAGATCCGTTGCAGCCCCGTTTTTAGAGATTTGGGCATACTTGCCAACCCTCCCGATTTTCGCGGGAGACTCCCGATTTCACTGCCCTCTCCCGGTTTCCTCCCG